AGCTCAAAGGGTTGAACGATGCCAAGAAACTCGGATTAGAACCCACACCCGTTCCTTGGTCAACCATCGCTCAAAGCTGGGAACTAGAGCGTGTATCTCGTACACACAGGAAAGATTTCTTATTTGCTTTTACAACACAACCTTCTAAACGGTCCCCGAACCACGAGTATGGTTCCCAATTCGAAGAGGAGGACGAGGAGATGGATGAAACTGAACCCGAGGCCTCAGAAATCGAAGAATTGATAGAACAACTCAAACGAGATCCTACTCTCGATCAACATGAACAAAGGTTGCTCGGGTCGATCGTGAATCCACGGCATATGCCTACCACCTTCGCACAAGTACACTTACCAGCTTCCACAATTGATTCCATTCGCACTATCGTTTCACTACCATTGTTGAAACCAGATGCCTTTAATTATGGAATTTTGAAACAACATGGCATGAATGGTGCACTGCTTTTTGGGGCTCCAGGGACTGGAAAGACACTTAGTATACGCGCTCTGGCCAGAGAAAGCGGTGCTAGGATGATGATAATCAAGCCATCGGATGTAATGGACATGGTGAGTTGGCCTGTTCATCGCCATGGACGTTTCTTCTAATACCCTCATCACAAATAGTACGTAGGCGAGGGAGAGAAGCTTGTACGGGGCGTGTTCAGTCTGGCTAGAAGGATTTCACCGTGTGTAGTCTTCATTGATGAAATCGATGCTCTACTAGGAGCGCGGTTCTCTTCACGGGGAAGTGGAGGAGATTTAGCTCATCGAGGGGTGATCACAGAATTCATGCAAGAGATGGACGGGCTGAAGTCGAACAAGGATACAAACGTGGTAGTAATTGGTGCAACCAATCGGCCATTTGACCTTGATGACGCGGTGTTACGGCGCCTACCTCGGCGACTTCTCATTGACCTGCCTGGTGAAAAGGAGAGAGCTGGTAAGAGATTCTCCTTGATGAAGATAGAGCACTTAAATCGCCTGGATAAGCTATCCTACGCATCCTTTTATCTGATGAAGAGCTAGCGAATGATGTGGACATAGAGGCCCTCGCCAAACATACAGAAAGCTTCTCTGGCTCTGATCTCAAGCGTATGTCCTCTTCCACGGCACAAATATCCATGTTTTAACATATTGTACAGATTTATGTGTCGCTGCAGCCTTGGACGCGGTCAAAGAGGGCGCCGACCTACCGTGGAGTGTTCCACACCATCTTTCGGAGAATAACTCTAAGACGACGACCCATTCAGACCTTTCTGAGCAAAATCTGACTGTCTTGCAGACATCATCAGACTCGGCTTCCTCGGCCGATCCATCATCAGGAGTAGATTCGACACAAACTGGAGTGAACAATGAACCTACATCTGGCGAGGAGACAAATTCTAAACGAGTGTTACGTCTATCGCATTTCGAAAAGGCACTCAAGGAAATCACACCTTCCGCGTCAGAACAACTTGGCTCACTGGCAGACTTGCGAAAATGGAATGAAGAATTCGGAGAAGGAGGTAGGAAGCGAGGAAGGAGAATATGGGGTAGTAAGTTTGGCTTTGTTGATAAAAATAACGAGAAACGGGAGGAAGGGCGTGTACAGCAGGCGTAGATTATATAGGATATACTTAATTTCTACAAAGTGCCACCTGGATGTCAGACCTCTGATTAGCATCCAACACATCTTCACGTGCTGCTTAATCTTCCTCTTCCCCATCCGAATCTTGTCTGTGAAGGTTGTCATTGATGGGAGACAACCCCGCCCACTCGACACAACACTCACTTGACTAGACGAGATTTACCGGTACGTTTCTGTTTGGTGGAAGTGGGTGGTGGAGTCGCTACGGCAGATTCTTCCTCCTCTGCGATGGGCTCTTCCTCTTCTTCCTCTTCATAGAAAGACCTTTTTGCCCGTCTTCTGGTATCATCAAATCCGTCTGGGACTGCATCCTC